CGTCACTCCTAGATTTGTGTCTTGTTTTTGACCTTACCTTGTGTTTAAGTTCTCCTTGTTTCCTTAACATGACTCAGATCATGAACTGATCTCACCAAAACTTTTACATTATGGTCCTTGGGCTGATATATCTTGCCTAAAAAACTAAAAATTTTACCTCGTTTAAAACTTTCTGAATTCTGACAGACTTGAAAGCTTTGTTCTTTTTTGTAAGTTTCAAGTCAAGCCTCACTCTACCTCAATTTTTTTATTTGTTGAGCAGCTGCCATTTTTAATCGTAACTATCTCTTTTTACTATTAAAAAAAAATGTAAAAAGGTATGCTTGCCTCTAATATCCAAAAACTCCAAAGTTTGTTTATGGTTATACCAATAAAGCTTATGTTTATGCCATAAAAATATATTTTTTAGAGCATGTTATACTTAACCTAAATTCATTGACAAGTTTTAAATTTCGTTTACATGGGTATGACTTTAACATGGTCATGATATTTAGATGGTAATAACTTTTACATGGTCATAACTTTTCAACGTAAAAAGATTATTGAATGAAACTTAAAACTTGTCGAAGAAATTTAAGCTTAGAAAATACAATTAAAAAAACATTTTATTAACTGGTAGGGCGGCCCAACATGGTATTTTTGTTTCCAACGCTCCGTTCAGTGCAATTTATTACAAAGCATTCTCATTTGATATATGCTTGAACACACTTAAGTTCAGAGTTTGCAAAAATGCCCTAAAGTGTTTCATTCAATAATCTTTTAACGTTAAAAAGTTATGACCATGTAAAAGTTATGTGATACTGAATATTAAACCAAATTCATCATTGGGTTTGTTCCTGGAATAATGTTTCAAATGATAACTCCTACTTTTTAATTTGCAGTTTCAATTTTTGGGTGTATGTTTGCAGTTTCTGACTTTGGGTGTATGTTTGACAGTTTCTAAAATCAAATAAAAAAAAATTAAGAAGTTGATGTTTTAGCACTTTTTCTTCAAACTTTATGAATAATCTTTAAAACATATAAAGAATGACAAATTAAAGGAAATAAAAGATCAAAAAAAAATTATAAAAAAATTCGCAAAAATTATTCAACTTTATCAAGAGGTCTTGTTGTAGGTTTTAAAATTATCTTTAAAAATATAAAAACAAAACTGCTGGACTGTATCATTCTATTGACATTGAAAGTTTATTTAGTGCAATTACTCAAACTAAACTGCAAAAATTGTTTGAAATCTGGTTTAAATTTTTTAAAATGTTTTTCAAAATAAAAAAGATTAAGCCTTTTTTTTTATATTTGTAGCCTAATTTTAATGAAAATTTGACTTGTACATTTCAAAGATGCGTTCTGTAAAGAAAACCTTCATATTTCCAATAACTTTGTGACTCAATCAGAAAATCTTAGATTTTAGTCAGTGAACATCAATACCAAATGTTTAAAATGTTATTTTTAAGGTCTTATACGACAAAAAAAAACTTTTTTGGCGATAGTTGACAAAACCCATTTTTTCATCCCTCCCCTTCTTTCTATTATAATCTGTTTGGGATGGTCGATCTGCCTACAAAACCTTTACTGGATTATGGTTAGATAAACTGCAAATTATTTTGAAGTTACGAAAAAGACTCTACTTGCGACATTCTTTCATGTTATATTATCCCCTAAAAATCTTGACATTGCTCTGATGAAGTCAACTTTGCTCTGATGAAGTCAACTTTGCTCTGATGAAGTCAACTGCTTTTACTGTTTTAATTACTATTTTAAAAAAATTGCTTAAAATTCGCTGTAATGCTAGCTAGTCACAAACTCATTTCCCACATAATCTAAAACAAAACAAAGCTAATTAGAACAATGATTTTTATTTTTCCGATTCGAAGACAATTTATAAAGGAAATTAGATAAAAATTTATTTTATGCTTAAAAGTAATGGGTTACAGAAAAATATATATTTAAAACCTGTAACAGAAACTGTAAAATATTTACAGTTTCTGTAACTAGTTAACTGTTTGAATAGAAATGCACAGAGGCAATTTTACGAGTAAAATGAGGGGGGAGGGAGGTGAATCCTTTAAAAAAAATAAGGTCCTCAAAATTAAAATTTACCCGACTGAATTGTATCAAATACCCAACTACCCGACTAAATTCGTAAAAAAAAACGACTATAACTTTTAAATCATCTTCTTTAAGGAAGGGGGGGGGGGGGGAGGAAAGGGGTAATCCTCCCCCTCCTTCCGTATATATGTCTCTGCAAATGCATACATACTAAGGATTAAACTTAGTCACAGTATGTGCAAAAAAAAAAAAAAAAAAAAGGAAAAAAAAAAAGAAAGAGAAAGTTGTTAATACAAACTATATAACTTAAAATAATATTTATTAAAATTAATTTATAATAGTGTGAGAAAATTATTAATAAAAAAAAATTTAAAAAAAGCGTTATGAAACCATTATTCACATGTAAATAACCGGACCAAATAACATTTTAATTGACTTTAAATTTTTATTTACATGAATATTTCTGCTAATGAAATGTTCCCAATAATTTTTGGTATTTTGGGATAATCTGTCTCACTGTGCAATAAGATTAGGTAAGAATTGCTTGGTATTTAGGGGTGCCAACCAACCCTATTCTTAACCGACTCTATTATTTAACTTCATATTATCATAAAAAAATATTTTTTGAAGTATGTAAACTTTAAAAGAAATGAAACTTTATAAAAATTTAAAAATGATAACCATTTCAAATAAATATTATCATTTTAGATTTTATTGCATAAAATTTTTATGCCATAAAATCTAAATTAGTTTTTGGTTTTTTTTAGTTTAAGTTTAAGGGGTGTATATATACAGAAACAGAAAATTTTTCCTTATATATAAGGAAAAATTTTCTGTAATTGGATGTAATTGGTGTCAAAAAATATATATATTATATATGATGGTAAGCATACCATATTATTGATGACGCTGACCCCAAAAGTTCAGCAAAATATCATTAATATATTATTATATCAAAATATATTTAAAAAATAGTTACACGCTGCCTTTTTAATTGAGATCAATTTATATATTTATAAACATATTGTATAACAAGAAATGACTTTTAAAGATTATATATATATATATATATATATATATATATATATATATATATATATATATATATATATATATATATATATATATATATATATATATATATATATATATATATATATATATATATATATATATATACATGTATATGTTTGTATGAATTTGTACAATTTTATTTGTACAAACTTTATATAAATATATGTATGTATATATGATTAATATTTAACACAAACAATTATATGTATTTATATATGATTTATATGCGTATTCAAATATAAATATTTAGTTGTTTTGTTCTAAGGAAATATATTTTGCATTTACTGTTCCATTTTATTATTGAGAAAAAATCAATATATCCTTGAATAACCCAAAATTTCCTTGAAAAATCCTGGAAATATCCTGGAATTTGAAATTTACTTTTAGCTGGCCACCCTGTAACAAATATTTAATTAATTTTAATGTTAGAAATGAAAAAACAACAACAGCAAAACAAAAAAGTTATACAAAAAACACTGGTTAACTTAGTCAATGAATTGAACATTTCAATTAAATACAAAAGCAATTATTTAAAAATCTTTTTTACGAATACAACACAAATATAAATACGCCAAAATAATATATTTTTACTAAATACAAATTCAAATATATATTTGACCACAAACCTGGCTAATACACACTCGATTAAATTAACAAATTTATAAAGCCCAAATAACCACGCATAAAAAGCAATTAACTATTTAAGTAGGTTGAAAAATTCTCTCCTATTATAAAATATATGAAAAATATATCAACAATTATTTTGTTTAATCTTTAATCAAATAATAACTCTTGTTTAGGCAAAGTAAAATCACATGTATCAAATTTTAAATTCTGAGATAATTTCTTCCATTATGGAATCTATTTAAAAAAAATAAAAACATATTAAAAAATTTAAATTCGTTTTATTGTTTAAACAGCAAACAAATTTGCATTTTCTCAATTTCTGAAAACATAACAGTTTAATCATTATAATTATACTTGGTTATTTTTCTTAGTTATATTTCTTTTTATATATCTTAGTTGTTTGCTCAAAGCTTTTTTTACTTTAAAAAGAGTTTTTTACTTTATATTTTTGACCAAATTTTATTTTGAACTTGTTAAAGTCTACTTAGGAGTCCTTGTCTGTTTATAGTTATTCTTTTTGTAATATAAATATATTTCTCTTTATAGATTAATATTTAATTTTTTAAATTGATTTTTCACAATTGCTTGAACACCAATTGATTATATATCCATCAAAGTAAAAGCTGTAAGTTATTCAGTAAGCAATCCCATACAAATTCAATATACAAATTAAGCTTCATAAAACATTTAAAGTTTTGCTCAGAAATAATAGAAAAAAAAAATCAGACTTGTTTTCAAAATTAACATGAGCAACATAACCCCTATTTCTACAAACACATAAGTTTCATTGTCCATAATTATAACTCCTGTTTCTACAAACCCATAAGTTTCATTGTCCGTAATAGTTTGTTTGCTCAGCGTCTTGCCAATAACAACCTATTTGCTGTATACTTGGTACGCTAGTGATTTCTGCCTTACCACTATGTCTGATTATATGTAGAATTTATGTTTATATCAAGTAGGCATTATACCATAATGCGTACTAGTATTTACTAGCAACTTACCCTGATCATGCCTTGAAAATAAAAACCTTTTACCTAAGAATAAGTATTCTGAATATAATGTGGTTATAAATCATTTCTATACTAAAACACAAACTCTTATTGAAAAATTGTTATTTCAAAAAGTAAAAAAAATAAAAGTAGTAGAATTATGATAATAAACAAATTTTTAAAGATTTACAAAGTGTGATGCATGAAATTTTTTTTTGTTTTTTTTTTTTGAATTTAAAATGTATTAATTTTATCTTTCAGCTATTTCAAATAACCATTGTCATACTTCACCTTGTCAAAATGGTGGGCTGTGTACACCGCATCCACATGGTTTTCGTTGTAGTTGTAAACTTGGGTGGATTGGAGAAATGTGCAGCAGTAATAATTTAGTTTGTTAAGAATATTTAGTGAAAATTAAAACTCATATATTTTTAATAAAAAAAAACTGTTATGTAATGTTTAAAATTTATCTTGTAATGTTTTAAGTTTTATATATTTAAAAGCTTACAAGATAACTTGGATTAAAAAAATTAAAAATTTAAGAATATAAAAATGTTAACAAAGTTTCTTAACCTTGATTAAGTTTCTATAATATTGCATAAAAAAGTTGATAAACATATCATTTATATAACTATATTCCTCATATTGTATAATTTTTATACAGCAGCTTTAAAAAGCTGTTCTGCATTAATTTTAATTTCAGAGGGTAATTTTATTTCAAAATGTCTTCATAGTGACTAGTGTAAATTGAAAAATGTCTAAGTTCTGTGGAATTGTTTTTGAAATTTAGATTTTGCTTAGAAAAAGTAGAATAGTGAAAAAATAAAGCAATTTTCTGTAGCAGGTTTTTTATATTGTAGATATTGCCTGTCTATACTCCAACCCATAAGTCAATGTAACCAGAGTACTGTACCAAAGTACATTTTGTAATACATCGACTGACGACATATGTATATACATATGTATATCTGTACCTCTTTTATTGTTTTTCGAACAGAAATTACTGTTTGTGTAATGATAAGTTAATGTATACCCTGGATCTGTATTTAGCTTGTCTATCAGTGTGTTTTATGTTTATTTTGTTTTATACTATTTTTTGATTGCACTATTATTAAAAGTTTTTTTTTAAATTAATAACCTAGAGCGTAGCAGTTGCACTCCAAATCCATGTGTTCATGGAATTTGCTCCCCTAATACTGATGGTCACACTTGCACTTGTAAAAAAGGTTTTAAAGGCCAACAGTGCCAAGGTAAAATTTTATTAAAATATTTAATTTAGCTATGTTAATCAAAAAAATATATACTCATACTTTTTATCTTAAATTAAAAAAGATTGGAATGAATATAAATTCATTAAAAATATACGTTTAAAATATACATATATATACATTTAAAATATATATATATATATACATTTAAAATTTATATATATATACATTTAAAAAAAAAAAAAAAAGTATATATATATATATATATATATATATATATATATATATATATATATATATATATATATATATATATATATATATATATATATATACAGTATTGTGCAAATTAGTTAGAACAGTGGCAAAATTGGAATAATTTTCTTACTATATACGTTTAAAATATGCCCAACTTTTAGCTATGATACTAAAGATTCTCTTGTTTTTTCAGATAAATAAATGTTTTACTGTAGTTTAGTGGTGTCTGGTAACTCTTTGCTGCCGGGAAGACATTCTAGCAAACGCATCAGTGGCTTCAGTGCTACTCCAGGCTTTGTGCAGAAAGGTTGTGGCGGAGGTTGTGATGGATTATTCACCTCGTATTCACAATGGGTGTTCACAATGGGTCCCAAGAAACGTGCAAGCTTTATAGCTCTTAAAGAACATGCTGGTTTGAGCATTAGACAGATTTCTAAGAAAATGAAAGTGGCTAAGTCAGCCGTTGGTGACATCTTGAAAAGAAAAAAAGACACGTGAATCTTCAACACTGCAATAAGAAAGATGTGGAAGAAAACGCAAGACAACACCTCGCAATGATACAGTTATCATCAGAGAAAATATAAAGGATCCTAATAAAGCAAGTGCAGACCTTTAGAGAGATTTGTTCACATCAGGCGTAAATATTTCTATATTTCAAGGCATAAATAAAACTTCAATGTGGCAAATAATTGTGTTATTTCAACCACTGTCCGAACTAATTTGCACAATACTGTATATAGTTGTTTATGTAACAATGTAACAATTTTTTTGCCTAACTTTGATTAAATTATCTAATTAAATTTGAGAAATATCATTCCTCACTCATTGTAAATTTGACCAAAATAAGTTATTGATCCAGTTATTCCCATAATAACTCAATTTTTCTACCAAATTTAAAAAGTTCTTGAAAATAACATTGCTGATCTTTTTGGTTGACCTTTCCAAATTTGCTGCTGATAGGGTTTTCCTTAATTTTTTTAAAATTCTAACGGACAAAGTTTAATAGACATTTTATTAGAAATTGAACTAAGATTTTTCTACAAGTTCTAAAATTTTAAACACAGTTAAAATTGTTTTAAACAAGTTTTAAAGCTAAAAAAGAAGTAAACAAAGTGTTGTTTTTTGCCTGTTTTTACATGAAAAGTTTTTTTATTTTTGTCATGTACAACTCTTGTGCCTTCTCCCCCTCCCCTCTGTTTTGTATTTTTAAGGGAAGTGTTGATAGTGTGTCAGAGGGTTACTGCAGCCTAAATTATTTTGCTAGAATAGCCCCAGAATGGATGCCTCCATAACTTTATTGCACTTGCTGGATGGTTCCATAATTTCATTTCACTTATAGCAAGTTTTTCGAATTCTAATAAAGCTACTGGATGATTAATTAAATCAATTAATTACTTTTAAATTTGGCAAATTATTTACATAAGAAATTTTAGTTAATCTGTATTTGTTAAATATTTGGTCTAATTGTAAAAAGCAAATGTCAAAAAACTGTTATGTTAATTACTAATTCATTTATTTAGTGCATTTATTTTTATTTTGAAAATTTTGTTTATATCTAATTGTAAAAACAACTGTTGAAATTGTAAAAACAACTGTTAAAATTGTAAAAACAACAGTTGAAATTGTAAAAACAACTGTTAAAAAATTGTCTTATTTACTAATTCATTTATTTAATGCATTTATTTCCATTTTGAAATATTTGTTTATATCTACATTCTTTATATGAAAATACACAAAATAAATATTTCTTGCATTTTTAAATGTTATGTATCCCATGATGTACACCTTCTGTTAAGCAAAAAAATTAAGAACTTCAGTTTATCTATTGTAACATTTAACCTAAAACAGTATTTTTTTTCAAAGATCTAAATGAAAAGAAAAATATGTGATAATAGTTTCTTTGTTGGTAAAGCATTTGTATTAAAATTTTATTTCAAAATTCAAAGTTATTGAAATGACTTTTTTTGTTTTTATTAAATAATGGTTACATAGTCTATATAGGGTTATGCTTAATATTATTAGATGATTACATTAATTATTATTTTTAAAGCCATGCATAATGGTCTATATAAATTATGTAATAAAAAAACAACTTATAATGGTTTTCTTATTTTAGAGGTAGATCGGTGTTACCCTAATCCATGTAGCAATAATGGTGTTTGTGCAGAAACTATGCATAAAGTTCAGTGTGAGTGTCTACCTGGTTTTAAAGGTTCTCTTTGTCAGTGTAAGTGATTTTAAAGCTTATATGTTATTTATAATATGTGTATAAATGGGTAATTACGCAAGAAAGAGGAAAAAAAAAAGTGAAAAAGGTGTGAAAACACATACTAAACTCCAAAACTCTTTTTTTTAACTATTTTAAAATACTTTTAAGCAAAATAGTTAAAAAAAAATCATTTTATACCATAGCATGGTTTTAAAGTTGTAAGGGTTGAAATAAACGTGTTTTGATGCTTTTATACAGTCCAGTTGTGTAGAGTTAAAAATCGTATCATATATCCGTAATTGAGAACATTGATTATGTTATATTGCATTTTTTTAACATAATATGGTTGTTAATAATCATTTATACTTTTTTTCTTAAATCATTGATTGCGTTGTTTTATTTGTTGTTTTGAGGCATTGGATTTTTTGTTACGACTGTCACCGTTATGACTGTCATGACAAAAAAAATAAAATAAAAATGCTTGTAAAACTTTAAGTAAAAACTATGAAACTCAGCATATAATAACATCAATGTGTGCTAAATACACACACCAAATAATTTTTTTTACCATGTCGTTTGCTGCATTAAGTCTGACATTAAGTTGCTTTATTCAGAAGTGGTAAAAAGAAAGCGTTACAACCGTCATGCTGCATAGAGTTAATTTTTGAAAAAAGTTGAAGACTAATGCTGTAGCTTTTACAAATTAAATTATATATATATATATATATATATATATATATATATATATATATATATATATATATATGTGTGTATATATATGTGTGTATATATATATGTGTGTATATATATACATATATATATATATATATATATATATATATATATGTGTGTGTGTGTGTGTGTATATATATGTGTGTATATATATATATATATATATATGTTTGTATATATATATGTGTGTATATATATAATATATATATATATATATATATATATATATGTGTGTGTGTGTGTGTGTGTGTATATATATATTATATATGTAACAGTCAACTGTTTGTGAAAAATCATACTTTCTGTGAATTTTATTAAGGTGACACTTTCCAGTCATTTTAGGTATATAGGTCTTTGACTAAAACTTTTTATTACATTGAGTTATAAAAATAGAGAAATACTATGGCCATTGCAGTGACATTCTTTTTCAAATCAACTAAAAAATATTTGGTTGATTTGACAAAAAAACACAGCTAAAACACCACAAAGATCAAAGCCTTATATGAAAATTCAGTTTCGAAATGTTGTAACAATGATTGTGTATTTTTTTCTTGTAGCTTTCTATATAACTAACTCCATTACAAAACTTGCATGGTTGCAATTTGCAACTTGCAAGGGTATTTTTTTTTAATTTAATTGATTAGCTTTAAAAATTTTTAAAATTTTTCCCAAAAAATAATTTTTTTTTTCAATTTAATAATAAAATTAAATACTCTACTTCATTTTTTGTGTGCATTTTTTATTTAAAATTTGTAGAATTCCAAAAGAAACCCAATTTTTTCAGGTACTGTTTTAGTATTTGTATGCATTTTACTTCAAAGATTTTATACACAGTTGATAATGTATAATAGCTGAAGAACCGTCTATTTATGATTTTATACACAGTTATAATATTATATACATGTATAATAGTTGAAGAACCGACTATGTTTTTTTATGATTTTTCAAGTAAATATTATTTTAAAGTTTTTTTTTCAGAACTAAAAACTAAAATAGCAAAATAAATAATAGAGAAAGTTGTTCAATTGGTTTAAAAAATAAAGGAATTTTTCACAAAAAAATGTGTGTAAAATCCAAAGAAATCAAGAAAGTTCAAGTCTAAATTGTGTAAAAGATATCACAAAAGTTTAAATTATGTATAAAAAATTTGTTAATTATTCGTTCAAAAATAAAATGGTTTTCCTACACCATTAATATGTTTATCTAAAGCATTACTCCACGATCAACATAACTTTATATTATTTATTTAATTCATACAATGGAAGGAATAAAGGTATCATATTTTAACCATGATACACTTTTTAAATGGTATAAATAATATTTTCAATTTCTCTGAAGAAAAAGAAATGGAAATACATCAATAAATTATTTAATTTTATTTATTGTAGTGTTTTTAGTGGAGCGAAGTTTTTTTTATTACACTTTTATTTATTATGTGATGAAAATAGCAGACAAATGTCTGAGAAAAACGGTTTAGTGAGTATAGCTCAAAGATCAAAAAGCGATTGATGCAAAAGCCATTAATGATGAGCCATTGATTCTCTTGTCAAATTAATGATTGTAGTTAAACTTTTAAATAAGAAAAACTTTTAAAGAAAAAAAGTAATTTAAAGATAATAAACTAATTTTAAAGATAATAAACTAATAAGTAAACTGATGAGATTATTAAATAATGCATCTTTATGAGTATGTTATAAATATATAAGAGTATTCATCTTTATAAATAAATTATTCATCTTTAGAATATGTTAGAGTGTTAGTTTGTTTGATGCATTAAAATAATCCACCGATTGAGTTGTTGAAGATATTGATGTTAAAACTGAAGGCTATCCAGTATAATTCATGCATCCATGTTACCCTTCAAGGTCATATTCTTGGCTTTCAAGAGATAATGAAAGTTCCATCAACAAAATTGTCATGAATAATATTAATATTTAATAGTTTAGGATTATTAACTCTTATTTCATTTTAATTAACAAATTTTAATCATTTTATCAGTTTTTGTGGTTTATTTTTGTAATTTATTATATTTTGTCAATTTATTGTTATAAAACTTTCAAATTGGATAAATCGTCCGTTCAATAATGTAAATCGAACATGTAAATCATTCAAATCAATGAAAAAGCAATTTATTGTTATATTATGAAGTTTGTTGCTTATAAAACCATAAAAAAAAAACTTCAGAATTGTATGTTTTAGGCATCTCAAGATATACTTCTTTTTGGGCATCAGAAAATTTAAGAAAGGTATTACACCATTTTGAAATTCAATTTCCATATAAAAGCTTTAATTGTGTGGTGTTTTCTATTTTGTGTTCTGCTTAAAATATAGTTGCCTAGAAGTTTTTATTGAAATTAAACAAAATTTTCATAAGTTAAAGCTTATATGGAACAATATTATTAAAAAATAATGGAGCTGAAAACAGCAGTTAAAAAGAGTTTGTGACAAAGTTTTTCTCTGAATCCTTAAGGAGTTATATATAGGTTATATAATTTTCCTTATATAGGAATCTTTAAGGAGTATATACATACATACATACATATATATATATATATATATATATATATATATATATATATATATATATATATATATATATATATATATATATATATATATATATATATATATATATATATATATAAATATATATATATATATATATATATATATATATATATATATATATATATATATATATATATATATATATATATATATATATATATATACTGTAATGGCCTTCATGGCCTTGGGGAGGTGAATTGAAATAATAATAATAATAATAATAATAATAATATATATATATAAATATAAATATATATATATATGTATATATTTATATTTATATATATATATATTATTATTATTATTATTATTATTATTATTATTATTATTATTATTATTTCAATTCACCTCCCCAAGGCCATGAAGGCCATTACAGTCAAGAAGGTTACTTTAGTTTACAACCCTCTCTCAACTCTATAACTCCAAAACACAAACCTTAACAAACAAGACCGCTGCGCTGAGAAACAAGTTGAGTACTACCAGGAATGTAGTAATATATGTGGTATATATAGAGTGCTCAATGTTCTTAAAGAACAGAGCAATAATTAGTTATTTTCCTGATGATTCGTTCTGATAAACCTACTGATGGAGAAACAAGATCTTAAAGAAAAAATTGAAAGGTGCTTTTACTAAATAATAATATATATACATATATAAGTAACTAAATATATAATATATATATAAATATATATATATATATATATGTATATATATATATATACATATAAAAGTAACTAAATATATACATTTATATACTCATGGTTATGCTACTTTTTAATTCTATTTAAATACTAGTGGAAGCAAAGTGTACACCAATAAACCCTTGTCTAAATGGTGGTATATGTCAAGAGTTTTTTGCTCATTATCATTGTCAATGTGAATCTATGTATCAGGGACAAAATTGTGAAGGTAAGTACTTTATCTAAAGTATTTTATAAATATTTAACTTGGTAAACATGTATCATTCTTAAACAATTTAATGGTCAAATGCATTGGTAAGCCAATGCATTTAACATCCACTTACCAACGCATCAACCATTTAGCTGATGCATCGGCATCAGTTTTGGTAACCTAGGCCAATGTCAAGTGTTATAAAAAAAAATTTTTATTTTTTATTTTTGTGTCTCTGTATTGTATGCAAAAATATAATTATTACATAAACAAAAATGCATGCATAAGCCTAAGTTATTATATATGCATATCTGCAACCACTAAATCTTTAAATATTTTTTGAACAGATTTGTTAGGGGCTCCTAACAATTTGAGTGTCTTTTATACAAAGAGATAAGTTAAAAATCAAGAAAATTAAATGTAAAGAAAATACTTTAGCCAGATGTTCCTCCTCTTGATATATACCGTGTATACATGTACATGTATACACTCACATACATATGTATACATACAAAATTTTTTTTTTTGAGTTTTAAAAAATGTTTGACAAATAATCAGGATTTAATTTGGAATTATTTTTTATGTATGGACTTATATTTATAGAATGTAAAATTATATTTATAGAATGGAAATTTATTTGATTCGCTTATTCAGTTGAAAATCATTTTTTTTTTCTAAATGACAAAAGTTCTTATTTTGTTATTATTTAATAAATATAATAAAAGTATTTAATACATAAATTTAATAAAAATACTATAATATATAAAAATTGCTATAATTAACTTAGGGATCATTTATACTGTACCTACTGTACCAATGCTAAATTTAAGTAATTAATCAAAATCTTTTTGTTAATTTGTTTTTTTGCCTCAAAATGCAAAAAAATGAATGAATAATTTGTAGAGAAATTTATAATTACTAATTGCGTGTTTGTGCTTTTTTTTTCTGAAATAGAAATTCTGTCATAGGGGGAAAGAGTGAATCTTAGTAAAAGAGATTTGTTCTACGATATAAATAAAAAGTTCAATTTCAAGATATAAAGTTTAAAGAAAGTTTAAAATGGTGAAATAAAAATTAAAGAAAATAAAAATTAAAGAAAGTTTAAAAATGGTGCACAACTTTAAAATAAAATGTGAAAGATATAAAAATAGAGAAAACTTTAAAAATGCATTAAAACATACTTTTGATAAAACAACTTTAAAACAACTTTATGAAACTAAGAAAAGCTGAAGGTGTATTTTTTTTTTTTTTTAAAATTTTAAAATTTTGTTATTCACCTCCTCAAGGCCGAGAAGGCCACTACAGATGAGGAGGCTACTTAATAGTGTTTATAACCCTCTCTCAACTCTATAACTCCGAAACACAAACCTTGACGAACAAGGCCGCTGCGCGGAGAAACAAGTTGAGCGCGGTACTACCAGGGACATGGTGGGGGTCGAACTCGGAACCTCTCGCTTATGAAGCGAGTGTTTTACCACTACACCACTACCGCATTTAGGTTCTTTAAAAGTACATTTGCTTACAGAATAAAAAGGCTTAGAAATAATGAAAAATTAAAAGTGATGACTTCTACAAATATAAAATCAATCAAGTATTCTATTTCCAAATTCAAACTTGGTTGAATGTTATAAACTTTATTCTATCAAAAAACAAAAAAACTATTATGTTTATCTCAATCTATTTTACATTCACACTCTTTGTTATTTTTAAAAATTTTTGTATTTACAAGATTAATTGGTGATTGATTAGTATTTTTATTTTAGTTTAATTGAATATAAAATACAAGAAAATTAGTTAATGGTTTAAGATCTTTATTAGAATAAAGATGTTATTCTATTATTGGTAATAACTCTCTTCCCAGTGGGTCCAAATGCCCCCTCCAAGCAATCAGAGAGTGTTGGCTTTTTATCATGACAAAAATAAAAGATAGTATCATAAGCGAACAATGCCACTTTAGTTAATGTAAATTAAAAAGAGTATAGGGCCAAGGATTGAACTTTGAGGAACCTCTGAAGTTACAGAATATGAAAAAGAGTGCTGTCCATCAAGGACAACTTTTATACTACGATTGGAAAGGAAAGATTCAATAATCTTAAATATGTTACCAGATACACCATAAGAAGAAAGCTTATGGAGGAGACCAGCATGACAAACTTTATCAAAAGCTTTAGAAATTTCACGAGCGATGACGTTAACCTCTCCACCTATATTGTAATTCATACTGATTATCAGAAAGTAAGTTTTAGATTCAAGATGAGAGATTAAGTGTTTCTTAATTAAAGATTCAAAAACTAAGAACACTTCTGCAAGACTATAACAGGTATGTTGTCAGAGCCACAAGTTGTAGAAGTCTAAGCAGGAAATCACTTTAGATACAGAAGTTGGAGTGACGAATGTCAAGGAGTAGATCAACCTGTTTGACAGCTATATCAGGTAGAACGTAACTAGTGGAATAAAGAAATGATATTGATGAAAAGTTCTTAGCAAACAATTCAGCTTTGTCTGTAGGTGAGGTGACAAAGTCTGAACCATACAAGAGAGGTGTAATTACAGATTTGCCACTGTTTTTGATACTATTAAAGATTCTCCAGATTTCAAGAGAAACTAATTTTTGTGATAATATACGAGATTTCATGACCTGAGAATAGCGGGCTTTGGCGTTAGACAAAACCTTTTTACAATGGTTTCTAGCAGTAACAAACAGATGTCTGTTTTCTGGAGAATTGTTTTGCTGATAGATATGGAAGTAACAATTTCGATTGGCAATTGCGGAAAACCATGAAGAAGAGTGAGGCTTGCCCTGGAATTGTTGAAAGGGAATAAAAGATTCCATGCCAGCCTGAATCTACGAATTTGGCTAATGATTACAAAAAATTATGTTGTCTTGTAAAATCAGAAGTGAAAAATGCCCATCTTGCTTACAAAAGAGATTTAGTATTGAAATCTAATAAAAATCCCAAAATGCTCTATAAATACATTAACAATCAGTTAAATGTGAGTAAAGTCAATAAAGACTTCGAGAACTGATGGAGAATTATCTCAAGATCAATTGGAAATTTCAAATATTTTGAATAAATGCTTTTAGGATATTTTTGTAATTGAAGACCAAGGTTAACTACCATTCTTTGAATCAAGAGTACAAATTTGCACTAGCAGATTTACTGATTTTTCTCCTGAAGAAATAACATACAATAATGTTTTAAATCGACTACAGAAACTTGATCAAAACAAAGCATGTGGTCCAGACAATCTTCATCTGGCACTGTTCATAAATTCATCAAATGCTTTTGCTATACCACTTACATTAATTTTTTGGGAATCTTTTGTTATTAGTCAACTGTGGATTCAATTTAGGTCTGCAAACCTAACTCCACTTTACAAAAAAGGTAATAAAACAGTAGCTACAAATTATCTTCCAGTTTCTTTCACTTCAGTTCCGTGTAAGATACTAGAAGGAATAGGCCGAAGTAAAATTTAAAAATATTTTTATAATATCAATTTGTTGGTGCAGCAGCAACATGGGTTTGTGAAAAAAAAGTTTTGTACAACAAATTTACTAGAAACAATTGATTCTATAACATTATGCATAGAAAATGGTACACCAGTTGATGTTGTTTTGCTAGATTTCGCAAAGACTTTTTTATTAAAGTTAAAAGCATATGGAATCACTGGTCTTGTTTTAAAATGGATTGAATCATTCCTAACAAATAGACAACAAAGAATACTTAAAAGTGAAATTGTATTTTAAGTGGTGTACCGCAAGGTGCAGTTATTGCTCATTTCCTTTTTGTCGTTTATATTAACGACTTACCTATAATAACAAAAAATATCACAAAGTTATATGCAGATGATACTAAGATTTTAACAAGTGTGGATTCTGATCTGTGTGTGAATGAAATTCAAAACGACTTAGAAAGAGTCTTTAAATGGACCGAAGATTGGCTATTAAGATTTAACGTAAATAAATGTGTAGTCATGTGTTATGGTTCAAGTAACAAAAAGAGTCCCCTTTTTATTAATGGTGTTCAACTGTTGAAATCGAAGTCAAAAAAAGATCTTGGTATTATTTTCAATACATAAATCTTAAACACAATACTTAATAGAAGGATCAAGTCAACATGGCAATCAGAAAAGCAAATCAGATGATAGGTTGTGTAAAAAAAATCATTTGCAAGATTTGACTGTAAACTTTTACATTCCTTTATTTTACATTCATTGGTCCTCTTTTAGAATTTGCTATTCCAGTTTGGTCTTCGTATCTGAAAGGAGATTGTGACGTTATTGAAAAAGTGCAACATAGAGCAAAAAAACTTGAACAATCAATAAGTAACCTTACATATGAGGTTCAACTTAATTCTTAAGACTATACTACTTTAAAGGTTAGAAGAAAGGTTAATGTGACTTAATTCAAATATTTAAATTTGTTCATGGCATTGAAAATATAGAAATCAACAAAAGTTTATCATTTGTAAATAACAACTTGAGAGGTAACTGTTTAAATATTATAAATAATTTGCTAGACTTCCATTAAGAGAACATTTCTTTTTCACTAGAATTGCAAATCTGTGGAACTCACTTCCAAACAAAGTTGTAACAGCACAATCAGTTGAGTCATTCTTGATTGCTGGTTGAGGAGCAATCAAGCATAATCAAGTATATGTATTGCTCTGGTTTTTAAGAACATTAAGCACTCAATTTGTAGAATACACTAACATAATTTATATATATATACATATATATATATATATATATATATATATATATATATATATATATATATATATATATATATATATATATATATATATATATATATATATATAGATATATATATATATATATAATATATATATATATATATATATATATATATATATATATATATATATATATATATATATATATATATATATATATATATATATATAGATATATATATATATATATATATATATAAATATATATATATATATATATATATATATATATATATATATATATATATATATATATATATGTATATATAGATATATATATATATACACACACACACGCATGTATATAATATATATGTGTGTGTGTGTTTATATATAATATATAATTGAATATATATTTATATAATTGAATATTTATTTTAAGTAAACAATGTGTGAAACATTATAAACAATAAATTACTTATTACAAATTAGCTTGGCATTTTCAATTTACTATTTAAAATCCTTTAAAGTTTGAACTTTCTTGTTGTTTTCTATTTTTCTTTGGAGTTTGTGTTGCAAAAGAATAAACATTCTATTCTATAATTTTGTGAAGCTAAATAAATGTAATGACATCACAACTTTCCATTAATTGCTTATACAAAAAAAAGAAGTTCAAATCAGAGTTTTTTTTTCAATTAAATTTTTTTTTTTTAAACAAAACTTTACTGTTTATTTGAACAAGTTTTTCTCTAACAAAATTTTTTTTATAAAAAATAATTTTTATAAAATTAAGTAAACAACTTATTTCTCACTTTTAAATTCTTAAAACAAGCATGATTTTACATTCTTGTTACAAGCTTAACAAATTTTTTTTATTGTGTCAAGTGAAGCATACGATACACTTGTGCAAATTGGTTACTTCTATTTTATCATAAGTATATTGTAAGAGTCTATAAGTAAAATATAAGGGTCAATCCATGCCAAGTGGAGCAAAGTCCAACACGGACCACATTAGATTTTGATGAAACTTGATGAGATGGTTTATATCAATGAAAAAAACTATTTTTAAAACTTTCAGCATAAAACCTTTTGTGGTTCATGAGATATGGTCATTTGAAGTTTCTGCTTTTTCAAAAATAAAACTTCAGCAGCAAAAACATGTTTTGTTCATTCTTTGAAGCTTTATGTTTTAAAAACAAAATTTTCTAGTTTTTATTACAAGCAACTCTAAGCAACTCTAAGCAACTCTAAGCAACTCTAAGCAACTCTAAACTTCTATTAAATCAGTAAAAATATGTTGATTTTAAAATTAGTTGCTAGGTTACCAGTGGTTTGAAATAAAGTCACAATTTTTTAAGTTTTAGCTGAAGTCATTTTTACGAGTTCATAATTTCGTACTATATTGTAATTTATCAGGAAATTTCTAAAAATAAGCAAGCCTGCCATAAATAGAAAGTAAAAAAATATTTCTTTTTGCATCTTAGATTACTAATTTTGAATCAGTGACGGATCAAGGGGGGACTATAGCCCCGGGCCCCACAAATTTAGGGGCCCCAAAAATTTTTAGAGGAATTTTAAATTGTCTCCTACAATTTTTTTTTAAGTTATTTTTAGGCTTTGGCCCATAAAAAGGCCTCCAAAAACAATAATAGCCCTGGGCACCAAGAAGTCCACCACTGTTTTGAATATTTCATGTAACTGATATGGCTAGAATGTGACATTTAAAAAATTTATGTCAACATTTTAATAAATTACAGCTATAGTATATAATAATTTAACAAAATAACATAAAACTTGAAAGTTTTATGAAGTTTTGTTTTTAAAATATAAAGCTTCAAAGTATGAACAAAGCATGTTTTTTGCTACTGAAGTTTTATTTTTGGAAAAATCAGAAATTTCAAATGATCACATGAACCACATAGGATTTTATGATGAAATTGCTTTTGTTGATATGAATAATTTGGCATGGAAGGACTATGAATATATAGATACCAGATATAAATCACTATTTCCACATTTTTTTAAAATAGTAGTATTTGTATCCATAAATTTTGGTATCCATGAATTCATGTTATTCATGAATTTGTTATAATAAGCAGATTCTTTAAATTATAATTTTTATTATAAATATGTACTGTCATTTATACTTGATAAAATAAATTCAATTTGTATTATTTTATTTTAAATCATAATTTTAAACCATACGTTTAAATCTTGATTTTATTTTAATTCCCATTAAGTACAAATTCACAGTTATTTACTTCACTTCATTTATGATTTTATTGTAAATGAAGTAAAATATATAGAATTTGTATTTAATGGGAATTAAAATAAAATCAAGTTTGAACATTGGATTATGAAAAAAACTGTTTTGAATAAAAAACTAATGTTTGAAGATTATTTTTTATTTGAATACTAAACATTTTCCTATTAAAAAAATTTGCGTTGAATTTGTGTAAGCTTAACCCAAGAAACAATCTTTTTGAATTTTTTTAATGTGGTACAAATTGTTGTTTTATAATATATTTATATAACTATATTATATTGTAGTATATAATGAAAAATATATATATTTTTTTCTTTCAAGTCTTGTTGGCTCCTACAAGGCCTCCAACAACTCTAATGCCAAAATATAGTGGTCCACAAGCAATACCAATGCCATTTGGTAATTCAAATTTGTATCCTCTTCATAGTGAAGTGCTTGATGATTTACCACAGTGGGAAAGTTCAAGTAAAAAAGCTTTTTATGTTGTTGATAAAATTCCGAAACAATACTCTGATAAAAAAGAACTTGATTATAATGCACTTAACAAAAACAGTTCTAACATTGTTACTTATCACAGTTCTAACATTGTTACTTACAATAAAGATAATAAATTGCCAAAATATAATAAAGACAATGAAAAGAGCAACTTTAGTGTTTCACTCAATCATAAAATTAATAATTCATCTTTTTTTGAAAAGATGAGGTTATTGCTAGGAGGTAAAGGATCAGCCCTTTCAAACTTAAATACTAAAAATTACTCAAGTAAAGGGATTGGAAATGGATTAAATAACACAATAAAAATTTCAAATAAAAAAGATGAAAAAGCTAAAGTCAGAACACTTGACAACATATACAAAGACAAAAATACTTTTTTGAAGGAAAACTTTATCATAGATGTTAACAAAAACAGTTTAACTCAGGGTACAAATATTAAAAAATTAAGTAGAAATCATCTTATGATAGAAGATGCAGATTTAAACAGTGAAGTAAATAATATGCATCCTTCTAGTTTAGCAGAAAAGTTGAAGATATTAGATAAACGTGTTTTCAAAAATTTACCCAGTAACAAACAAAGTGACTTTACTGTTGAAGGCTTTAACCAATATGGAAAAGTTACATACCAAGAAAATGGAAAACAAAGAAGTGTTGTTAACAGAAAACCAAAATTAAATTATCTGCAGCCTAAAAATATGGGTCAATCTCAAATAATAAATTTAACTAAAGGTGCTAAGACACCTTTGCAAATGCATAACTATGTTATGAAAAACAGTTTTAAAAAATTTAACAAATATGGTTGTCCTTCTTTTTGTGGATATATTTGTGATCCATGGTGCATTAAAGTAGGATGTTGTAAAGCTACTTATGATCAACTAAGTTTGTTTAAGGAAATAGAAAAAGAGCACTTAAAAGTCTCACAAAATAAGCAAGCAAAAGGAACATCTCTTTCAAAAGGTAAATTATTATTTTTTAATTTTTTTAAGATGTTTTTGTCATTTTGCGTTTGTTAAAATGTGGCCAGCTTGAAAAACAAAAATAGTATATATATCTACAAGCGGTAAATCAACTCAAAGAAGAATCAACTCAAAGATCGCAAAATTTTTTGAAGAAAAACAACAACTAACAAAAGTAGCAAAGTTATATAACAAATAATATATTGAAATTATATTTCTTAAATAAGTTTAGGTTAAGGAGTATTCTTGATATTTTTGAACTGCTTTGTTTATTTACAAATGTAATGGCAGAATGAATGTGTATGAATTGTGTAAGAAAGGTCTGAAGAAGCTCTCTAGGGCAAGTAAGAATGCAAAATTTTGTTGCTAAAAAATTAGGAATAAGCTACATATGTATAATGAGGTTTTATATTTATAGTAATTGCAAATTAAAAAATGGAAAACACAAGCTTGCTTATAAATTAAATGGTTTAAAAAAACTTCTGCAGTAAATGCACTATTCATTAAACAAAACAGATATTTTAGGGCCCGCTGAACCCTATAGCCTGTGTTGGCTTTTACACCCTTATAAGTAAGTTGACACAGGCAAAATAAAGCCTGCACAAAATATAATTTTTTTGTTAGAAAAAATGTTAAACTTGTTTTTTTTGAGTAATTATTTAGAAACTTCTCACATGATATAAATTCATGATGTATTTACATGATGTATTTTCAACATGTATCACAATCTTCAACTTTAAAACTGTTTCTTTTTTAAGTAAAAAAATTTATTTTAGCATGTATTAAAAAAAAATTTAACTTACTAATTATTAATAATAAAAGTTTTTTTATAATAATATTATGATGTATAAAATTTAAAAATTAATTAAACCTGTACAACTGAATAAAGTTCACTTAAGAGTAAAGAAACAAATAGACATAAAACAAACAAAAAAAGAAACACAAAATGAAATGCATAGAAATGGTTCTTAGCGTGAAAAAAAGGTGCTGTGTAACTTTGAAAAGCCTTTAATTTTAACTTTACAAGTATCTAACTCTTTTCTTCAAGGTTTAACTACAAGCCTTTTTAAATGATTTGTCACCTTCCAACTGGTTATTATAGTAGAAATTATAATGAAATCATTTGGAAATTAAAGCCTGTTTTTTTGCCTTTTTATTGCTAAAAAAAACAATGTTTTTACTATCTCTGGAATGAAGGAGGAACAAAAGAAAAATTTAAATATCAAAAATTATCATCAAAACATAATATAATTTCTTAAAAAAACCCGTGCAAGACCATCTTGGTAGGTGGCCCACTGAAGCCTGCATATAGATATGTTTTTTTACTTAAAAATAAATTTTTTTCTTACATTTCTTATAATGAAAAAGTTGCATTTGTTTGCGAACAATTCAGGATGTAAAAAAAAATATCAGGAACAAATTAAGCTTGTGTCTTTAGGTTACACTGTATATCAAAAATTTATCCTTTCAGCTTTAATACCTAATTACAGGGCTCCCTAGTCATGGTCTAGTGTGTCTATATGTTAATATGCAAATTTTATATATATATATATATATATATATATATATATATATATATATATATATATATATATATACATATATATATATATATATATATATATATATATATATATATATATATATATATATATATATATATATATATATATATATATATATATATATATATATATATATATATATATATCAACCAATCAACGATCAATGATAGGCTATTTTTAGGAAAACTTCAAAAAATTCAAGGGAAAATAACCTGTTTTTGTGAAAAAATTACATTTTATTGGCAAGCTTTGAAAAAGGAGCGCTGATGTATATATATATATATATATATATATATATATATATATATATATATATATATATATATATATATATATATATATATATATATATATATATATATATATATATATATATATATATATATATATATATATATATATATATATATATATATATATATATATACATATATATAAATTGATTTTCTGATTTATTAATTAAATTGCTTAATTTTTAATAAATTTGTATTTTATAAATTTAGTTTTAACATTTTTATAATTATAAATTTAGACAAAATATAACTCCAACCCAAATTGACTTTAAGTTATTGTTTATTTACCAAGTAACAACTTGATAACAACAAATAAGTTTTTTGTAATATTAATGATCTATTTGAAAGTGCCACTATTAATATTAATTTACATTTATGGTACTATAAGTATCTAGTCTGTTATTTAACACTCAAAGTCTTAAACATTTGTTGTTTAGCATGTATAAAATGCAATGAAAATGCTGACTGTTTAGTAAATAAATGTGTCTGCAAAACTGGTTTCCATGGAAATGGAATAATCTGCAAAGGTAATAGTTTACTTGCTAAATGTTTTATTATTTTAATATTTAATTTTTTTTTTTATTTGTTTATTCAGAAATCAATAATATTTATCATAAATTAAATCTATATAGTATGAAATGTTTATAATTTATTTATGATATTTATAGTATATTGTGGTAAAACACTAGGCACCTCCATGCTGATAAATATAGGACACAGGGTGTGTTGATGCTTATATTTTTAGTGCTTCAAATCAGCTTTGAATGTGTCAGTTGAAAAGGCGTTAACAATGTTTAATAGCAAAGACTTTCTTATTTTGACTACACAGTTTGGGAAGAACTTATCTCTTTCTTCACAGTACTTTACTAATGCCTTGGTTAGTTTTAAGTTGTTGCTAAAAAGATTATACTTGGAAAATGTTTACGTGTAGACTTAAAGCACAACAAAGTTGATTTTTTTCAACACCATGCACAACCTTGTATTGCTGAATCAATCCATTTCTAACTCCTCTGTCTGCTCCAGACCTCTCTGTCTGGGTTTAATTAGGCTTAGAATTGTAAACGTAGAGTTGTAAACTTTGTAAGATTTGTGTTTGATCTCTATGATCACTTTTGTAGTTCCTTGCTAAATGCTTTTTAGCACTTTGAAGTTGCCCTTCAGGTGTGGAGACCATGCTTAGATAGCAAAATCAAGGTGTGATCTAATGTACATTTTGTTAAGCACTTTCCAAAACTTGGTTATGAAGTTGTTTTGGATCGTAGTTTAAGTGTGCTGCAATCCTACTCTCACTATGTGCTAATTCTTTTGCATGCTGCTTTGTGTAGTCAAATCGCCTCATGTGTTCATTTACCGAATTTTATAAGTATTTGTACCATAGTCTCTTTCTCACAGTTACTTTAAATTTTCTCCTCTTAAATGATAATCTAGTCATAGGTACATGAATTTCAATTACTCATTTATTTTGTCCACTAGTACTTTTTATTTATCATTAGCTAAGAGAAATCAAAATCAAATATCATTGGCTGAGAGAAATCATAATCAAATATAATTGGCTGAGAGAAATCAAAAATAATTTTTGCATGTGGGCAAATGTTACTAATGTACCGTCTTAAACATGGATGAGCATTCCATTTTAATATGCTTTGCTGTATTGTTTGTCTTATTTTATCTATTTTATTATTGTTATATATATATATATATATATATATATATATATATATATATATATATATATATATATATATATATATTTATATATATATATTTTTTTTTCAAGAACTTTTTTGTCATTATCATGCAGATGATAAATGCAATCCAAAAGAGTTCGACAGTCTAACTTTTAAATTTACCATACTTGCTCTAAGTCTGATGAACTTAATTGCTTGATGTCTGTTTCAGCTAATGGTCTATTGTTTTTTATATATATTGCCACGCTTCCTCCCTCTATTTTTGTTGTGTATTTGGTAGTCTGGCATTTGAATGTCTAACATGTCAGTAAACCTCTACTCTGCAAAGAAGAACAAATCTAACTTGTCTTATCTATTCTTGCCATCAGTTCATCTTGTTTGGCACCATTCAGTGAAAGCAGACTATTTACCAGCATCTTGAGTGTTTGTGATTGGCTTTACTGGCAGTAGAAAAGGATTAAGGATTAGATGTTATGGTGTTGGGTTGGTGAGGTTTAGGTATGAGCTATACTTGCTATGACTGAAGTGGTGAAAGATGTTGCAGAATTGTTTAAATTGGTGTTGTTGCTGACAGCAGTGGTTGATTTGTTTTTGTCAAATTGATTTTTTAGTCATGTATAGCATGTACAGACATCAAGTTCTTCTTTGTTTTTGGTAGTTACCTTATTCTCAGTGTCTCACAATGGATAATTGCAGATTTAAGTTCAACTTGGATCACCCTGTTCAGCTCTGTTGTGCTTTGATCACTATTTTGAGAGATTTTTCATCTCCTTTTTCTCTTTTTTTATTGGCAGACGTGTAGAATCTTGTCTTTGATGTTATCAAAAAACTCTTTAAAGAGCTCCTCATTACTTCTGTCTGTTGATTTCTTGACCCCTATGATGACCACAATAGGCTCTTTTTCCTTTTTTGTCTTTATTTCCGCTGCTGCTAAGTTGACAAATTGGTTTTACTTTGTGATGTCAAGGTAGGATGGTTTGTTATTTGTTGTTATTGTATTTGCTGCTAAAAGTCTGTTTACCAAGTTGTAGGTTTGCTATTATAAGGCTTGACATGATTGTTTTGCTATTGCTTCATTTTAATGCTTTTCTAAGTATAATCATATTGGCTTTTTAACTCTGTAGAGTTGGTTAAACGTGCTCCGTTGTACTTGTTCCGAGTTTAATTGCTAACTTTAATTAATTGCTGTAATCAAAATAGTTATACTAGTTATAATAATTATAATGAGGAAAGGAATGGTGTTTGAACTATAAATCCCTTTCCCAAAAATTATTAGTTGTCACATTTATTCAGTCTTGCATGACAAACCCAGCATATTAACAACACCATTGCAGCTAGCAGTTCACAATGACAAAAAAAAAATTATATATAGTTATATCTTATGTCTCATAGTGTAAGATTCCATCAACTTACATACACAAAGTTTACAAAAGAAAACAGAGATTTTTTTATAACAAAAACAAATTGTGAAAGAAATTTAAGTATAAAACCTAATTATAAAAAAATAAGTATAAAAAAATAGATTTGCTAAATGAAATATTTGTTCTAGTAGACTTTATATTTATCTTGAGTATGAATAATGCCATAGTTCTATTATTCATCACAAACATGCCATTTACGCAATGTTGTCACGAATGTGAGGTTTGTAGGTTTTAATTGCTTGTAGAGTAAAGCCTAATAAGATAAAAGCCTGAAAAAATTGCTCTTGCATGTGGCTTGTTGATCTTTACACTGTTATATTTGATTTTTTGGATGATTGTTACACATTCCTTATTCTTTTGGTCTTGAGGTTTAACGATTATTATTTAATCTTAAAGCATTTTAGATCAAGATTTGATGAGCCAAAAGCAGAATGAGCAGGTAAAATTACAACAAGAAGAGTTTACCCAAGAGCTTTCAAAAATACAGGATTACTGAATGAAATTCTTGGACGAAGTGAGGAACAAATAATAAGATTTGGAGATTTTTGAATAACTATTAAAGGTGTCATGATCATTCATAAAATTGATTATTGTGAAGAAACATTTTTTCAAGCATATGTGTAACATGGTTCAAAATTTCTGCGTCCGTCTTTTAAATACTGGCCCATGGAGTAAAAGTTATTTTATATTTTCCTGTTTTCGTTGGTACTTATGATGAAAATGTATTAGAATTAGTAAACGCAAATACATTTCGATAATGAGAACAAAAACTTTGATAGTTATATTGTTTGGTGGTGATAAGAATAAAAATATAATAATAAAACAAAATCTTTTATTCGAAAAATACAAATAACTTCAGAAACTCTAAATATAATTATAGATTAAATAATAAGATCAAGGTTATAGATTAAATAATACAAACAATTTATAAAGTTCTTACTTTAAGATTACTTATTTTATTTCTTACTTATTCAAGTTTAAAAGCTTTATTTCGACAACTTATAATATGTTTACTGATATTTAAATATAATAATGTTTTTTTTTTTAACATGAGACGCGGTTTTGATTTTTTCGTTTAATATATGTTAAATATATAATACACTTTAATTCCTTTTTGAAAATAAAAGCAATTTTTTTTAGTGGATATCTGTGTACTTTGTCATTTGGATGCCGACTGTATTCATCAAAAATGTTTTTGCAAAAATGGTTTTATTGGCGATGGTTTTAATTGCAAACCAGGACATTTTTCCATATAGAAATTTTCGGCGTTCTAAAGAAATTTTAGAAGTAATCAATCTTTTTGGTAAACATCGAAAAGATAATAGTTTTATGTGCAAATTTTATGTATAAATTGCCGCGATATTTTTTGCGTTTATTAATAGCATCCTTTTATTTTTATATTTTTTATGTATTTATATGCTTTCATATACAGTTTGATTTATATACACGTTATTTTTTTAGTTTTTTTTTCCCTTTTTTTTTTTTGTAGTTTATATTTGGTACACATTTTTTAATGATACTTCTCGCCTGTAGTTTTTTTAACTTTTTTAGACAAATTTTAATGCACAAAATCTCTTCAGTTTTTAAAATGACGATGTTAAAGAGAGTACAAACGTTTTCAAATGACGAATTTAAAATAAGAAAAAAATGTGAAGATAATATGCTTGAAATCAATATTTTTCTGGAAAAAAAAAACGTTTTTATATAATGAATGTATGCATTTTTGTTTTTCGTTTGTTATATATATATAAATAATATTCTAAAAGTTAAGCGATTTTTATTTTATTTTTCTTATTATTTTTTTTGCTCACTTATTTTGCTCACTCATTTTGTCGGCTTTTTTGTTGAAAAAAGTTTATTTGAGAAAAAAAATTGTTAAAAAAAATTATAGATACGATATAACTTTTATTGTGGTCAGACGGTCCAAAATAAAAAAAAGTTAAATATTATTCTTGTAGTAAAAAATGATATATTTAATTGCCTTAAGTTTTAACATTTTATGTGAAACACAATAGCTATAGAAACTAAGTTTTTCATTGAAAAAGCATTTCCATTTTAAAAAATATAAAAAAACTACATTTGCATTTTATAAACAAAAATAGCAAGCAATTAATTAAAAAACTAAAAAAATACTTATGTAAAGAAAGTGAAAAAAAGAAAACACTGTACAACTAAACTTAAAACCTTGCAAATAACAATAGTGAAAAAAAAACTTCAAAATCAGTGGCGTGACAGGAATATGAACAAGGTGGCTGCTAAAGATCCCAATTAGCAAACAGACCCCAGGATACTTTGTAGTAAAAGTTTACCTAACCCTTTTTTTTTAAATTTCATAAGTATTAACTAAAAAAAAAAGGTGTAGCTCAAAATTGTTTGGAGGTTTGATAACTACTACATCTGTGCCATACCAAATAAAATCTATAACTTTCTAGTTAATCTTCACCTCTTAAATAATCAATATGGATTTCAAAAAACGAGATGAAATTTCATTTACAAGTTTGACTAAAGCATTTGAAACTGTTGACAAAGAGATTCTTCTGTATAAACTATATAATTATGAAATAAAAAATAACAACTTAAAATGGTTTCGCCCTTTATAAACGAAGACAAGCATTATCGTACGACAATACTGTTACACAACCTAAAAGTATTACTTGTGGGGTCCCCCAAGGATCTATTCTAAGGCCATTGCTATTCCTTGTTAATATTAATGATATCTTATCATCTTCCAATAAACTCAACTTTGTTCTCTTAGCTGACGATACGCAAGTATTTTGTAGACACAAAAACATTTCCCTACAGGCATTTGTTTTTAAACCACTTTTAAACGTTCTTATTATAAGATAGTTTAGAAGACGTTTAAAAGACATTTAAAATACATTAAGAACGTAACTTTTAAAAATAAATGCCCGCTGGCTAGCCTATTACTTAAAACGCTTAATCAAGAACTAGAAAATCTAAGCAAATGGTTCAGGACCAACAAACTCTCGCTAAACAAAATCTTCTGGTTCAGACACCCTCTCCTTAATACTTTCTGAACTGCTTATCGACAAAACTAAACTTAAAAGAAAATTCTCAATCAACTTTTTAGATATAAAAATTTAAGAACTGCTGGAAGAAAGTTGATAGAATGAAGTGGTGCTAAATTGAAGCACATAAAATAATAGTTTGTGGTTATAAACCTAGTTTCCCGACAAAAAGGTGAATTTTTACAAATGTAAATGCCCAGGTCAAGCATGTGACTATTGGTGTCTTTACGAATTAAAGGAAGATAACAATTAACACTAAATTTTTTTTTAATTCATAAAGACTCCAATAGTCACATGCTTGACCTGGGCATTTACATTTGTATTAGATTCACCTTTTTGTCGGAAAACTAGGTTTAAAACCACAAACTATTATTTTATGTGCTTCCATTTAGCACCACTTCATTCTATCAACTTTCTCTATGTTCTATACCGCTCTTTTATATCTCAAAACTCTTTTTGATGTTATTTCTTATCAAATTGACCAAACCCTTTCCCTTTCATCCTTTAACCAATATTATTCTTGTTGTTGACTTTAATGCTTATCACAAGTAATGGCTTTGCTCTAGTGTCAGTGACTCTGTTGGCGTTAAGGCCCACAGATTTTGTCTTTCTCAATCTTTAACACAAATAGATAACTTTATAACTCGTTTTCTTGACAATCCGAATCATTTACCTTCTTTACTTGACTTTTGTCTTATTTCTGATCCTAGTCAATGCTCAATTTTTTCACATTCACCATGAGATGTTTCTGATCACGGTTTAATCTTTTTAAAACTATTATCTCATTCTTCTTCATCATCAAAATCCCCCTATCATCGTACCTCTTACCTTATATTAAAACTGGCTGTAACTCCTTCTTTATTTTCTTGGTAATGGTTTAAGCCTAGAAATTTTTTGTCTTTCTGATGACAAATGTGCTTCTTATGTAATTTCTCGGATTCAGGCTGGCATGGAATCTTTTATTCCCTCTTGACAATTCCAAGTCAAGCCTCACTTAGCTCTGTGGTTTTGCTCTCGTTGTGTTGCTGCAATTTTCAATTGTAACCATTACTTTCATATCTATTGCCAAAACAAATCTCCAGAAAACAGACGTCTGTTTACTATTGCTAGAAACCATTGTAAAAAGGTCTAAAAAACATTTTTAAAAGGTTTTTTAGACCTTTTTACAATGCCCATAGCCCACTATTATCAGGTTACGAAATCTTCTGGAGATTCTTTAACAGTGTCTATAATAAGGACAAATCTGTTGTTCCACCTCTCTCGCATGGTTCAGATTTCGTTTCCTCACCTAAAGACAAAGCTAAATTATTTGCAAAGAGCTTTTCATCTATTTCATCTCTTGATTCCTCTAATCATATTATACCCGTTGTAGCTGAAATACAGATTGATCAATTGCTTGACATTCGTATCACTCTTGGTTCTGTATCTAAAGTGATTTTCTGCTTAGACTCTTCTACAGCTTGTGGTCCGAACAACCTGTCATAGTTTTGCAGAAGTGTTCTTCGGATCTGTCGTCAATACTTTTAAAACTACTTTAAATTTTAAAACGTTTGTATTTAAGGTGGTAGTACAGTAATAAGGAAAAAAAAATTTGTATTCAACTTTTGCAAATGTTTTTTTATCTCACATTGTATAATAAACTATTTGAAAGCTTAAAAAAAAATTAAAAAAGTTGAACCATTATTAAATAACCATCAAAAGTCAAAAAAATGGGGTAAAAATCAACAAAGATTTTTCAGCAACCGTTCATAATTTATGATTGAAATTTTGGCTAGTAATATATTATGAGTATCATTTAAGTTAAGTCTAAAACTCTAGCATTTTTTTAAATTTAAGCAGAAAACCTTAATCAACAAACACTTCTCAATAAATCACAGACGCCACAAAATTTTTAACAGAAACACGATAAAAATAAGCTATAGCTGTATGCCGAATATGAAATCTTTTTTAAATGCACGCAATCAACAAGTTATGAACAACAACAAAATTCCACCTGAATCCAACTGCAATTACCTTAACTAAAATACCTGCTCTTTATCAAACCATTGCTTAACAAAAAAACATTGTATACCAAGCCAATATAAGTTCCAATAATCCTACTAACACTCCTGTCAACAAATCCTACATCGGTATAAGTGAAGCACCATTCAAAATTAGATATGCCAACCATATAAAATCATTTAACATTCTAAAATACAAAAATGACAACGAATTATCAAAAGAATTTTGGAAATTAAAAGATGCCAACTTAAACCCAGTTGTCAAATGGAAAATAATTAAGCAGTGCAATGCTTACAACCCAGCCACGAAGTCCAGCAAACTATGCATGAATATACGAAAAATATGAAATTCTATTTTCCAAAAATAAAAATCTGCTAAACAAAAAAAGTGAAATGGCATCCAAGTGCAGCCATCGAAATTTTTTCAAATAATCAAACTCTTTTTGTATATATATATATATATATATATATATATATATATATATATATATATATATATATATATATATATATATATATATATATATATATATATATATATATATATATATATATATATATATATATAGAAAAATACAACTTTATAATGAACTGAAAGTTTCATGCCTATCGGCAATCTTCAGAAAACAAAACAACCAAAAAAGAAGCATAGTGGTAAAACTGCTAATCAAGATAATTCTAAGTTAGGTTGGTAAGAAAAATTGTAATTAAAACCGGACTTTTTTAATGCTTCATTATACATAGGAGTAGATTTTTGAAAGATTTCCTTGCTTGCCGAATTTGCTGATAATCTTAATTCATCGTTTGATAGGCATGAAACTTTTAGTTCCATTATAAAGTTGTATTTTTCTATTTAATTATACTTTATATATATATATATATATATATATATATATATATATATATATATATATATATATATATATATATATATATATATATATATATATATATTGATCTATTTTGTAAAAATTGCTTTTACATTATGTTGATCACTCTCAAGTAAACATGAGAATTTGTATCTTAAACAGATACAATAATAAACAACAATAAATTGCTCCGTATGTTGAGCACTCTACTTAAGAAAAACTTGACTTATTCTGTCAAGAACATTCTAATTCCACCAATTAAAGAATACAAAAAACAATTAATCAGTAAAACCGAGGCATTAATAAAAAGAATGAGGTGGAAAGCGTTTTTCTTTATTAATGATGATCAGAATAGAAAGAGCAATACCTTTTATAACTATGGAATAAAAACACCAAATTACCCTAAACAAATTACTGATATGTGTGCATTTGAAAGCGAATTAATAGAATTAATAAAAAACATAAAATTTTGTAAAGCTTATAGCAAATTCCAGGAAAAATC